TACAGTTGACCAAAGTACTTTATTGTTGCCTTGCAGGGGATTCAGGATATCCTCTTGAAACTTGCCTCATGACACCTCTGGCAGAAACAAGAACGGCAGCAGAAGTACGCTACAACAGTAGCCATGCTCGCACACGAGCAGTTATAGAACAAACTTTTGGGGTGCTGAAAAGTAGGTTCCGCTGCTTGCATAAGTCAGGTGGTGCACTCCAATATACGCCAGAAAAGTGTGCAAAAATTGTAGCTTGTTGCATGCTTCTGCACAATATCTGTGTCAAAAGAGGCATACCTTTCCAAGACATCCTAGAAAATGACGACCCACCCGAGGAAGCAGTGATGAATTTCATTCCTGAGAGAAGTGCTCAGCAGGAGAGGGTGGCATTAATAAATGGCTCATTCTGATTTTCTAGTCGTATGGGAGACTTTTCTTTGGCATTAATGAGTTTGTTTTTAAAGTGGATTTGACTTTGAGGAGTTTTTCATATTTATGTCTTATTTTCTACCAAAGATGGTATATGTTAGTTGAGTTTGTATTCTATAGCTTTCCCGTAGCAAATATTTGTAATTCATATGGAAAGGATTAATTTTGGAATGTGCAAATATATCTGTGTAAATAAATACGCTTGTGAACCAATGGTTATGCCTGTTTTTCTTGTGTGACAATGTTTCCTATATATATATATATATATATATATATATATATATATATATATATATATATATATATATATAGATATATATATATATATATATATATATATATATATATATATATATATATATATATATATAAACAAACTAATATGCAATGCCACATATTGATAAGGAAAAGTATGGATGCCACGTTTAAATTTCAAGGATTTGCTGTGACCTAAGGCAAAGGCACTATTATTTCAACATTTATTAACATCTGACAAGCCATAACAAAAGACCAATAAAAAATAAATAAGTCGTGAAAGAGAGGAGAGGGAAACAAAGAGAGGAAATGACAGAGAGAGAGATAGAGAGAGGAGTGAGAGAGAGAGAAAGAGACGATAGAGAGAGAGGAGGAGATAAAAGGAAGGCCACACAAACACACGGAGAGAGAGAGAGGGGGGGCAAAAAGGATAAGAGAGAGAGAGAGAGAGAGGGGGGGGGGGGGGAGGAAAGAAATTTCACAATAAATACACATTATGGTTTCTTGATAGTCCTCAAAATGCTTGTAAACTCAAGTAATGTTGCATTAATATTCTGAAGAGCTGTTGTCTGGCCCTCCAGGGCATTTCGAATACCTCGAACCTCATCGAGGATACCCTCCTGTACCTCCAGCATGCGAGCTGATAACGGTTGCTGCGCTGTACCAGAACTCCTGCTGCTAGGCCTACTATGTACTGGTGTTTCTGTCACTGGCTCAGCGGTGATGGGAGAAAGACGTTCATCCTCCTCAACATACACGGCTGCTGTCGGATAAGAACATGAAATTAACACAATATACTACAGATAGTGTGTCCATCATAACACCATGTAACTGCTGCAATAAACAATAATTACATGTGACATCACATTATTATCAGTTTGTTACGAACAAGAACAAAAGCTTCCTATGATAACTTTCAATATGTATCAGATATAAAGAACTGTTACCACTGAGAAGTAAGTCCAAATTAGATTCAGGTTTACTTACTGATTTCAGCAACAGCTTCAGCAGACTCTGACTGCAGAGAATCAGAAATGCCATATACCACAGCCGGGTTAATAAGCTGGGCCATGGCCTCCTCAGCAGGAGTCAGAGGTGGAGCTATGGATGGACCTCCTCCTGCAAATATTATTACATGAATCTCTCCAATACTATTACAGAAAACATTACACAGCAATAAAGTCAGATAATTTGAGGATATTTCAGACAAATTAGTCAATAATGCAGAACTATGATTTTATTCCAAACAATTTTCTAATTTCAAAGTTTAAGCTTCATCTATTATCATGCGCTGAATATTTAAGCCTACATATTCCTGGCATTTAAACTAACCTGTGGCGGTTTGCAGTTTTTTTCTGAAGTTCAGCTTCTTCTTCGTGTGGCTTTTGAAATCGATGTATTTCAGCTTCACTTCCTCGGGGCTTCGCAACGTCTTGCCCGTCGCGTTGACTACTGCTGTCACCTCCTCCCACGCTCTTAGCTTCATTTGATGGGTCACGGTGGCAGTCAGGGGCCCCTCTAAGATCTCCTGGTGAAGCTGAACATTTGCAATGAGCGCCATGAGCTCATCATAGGTGAAGTTTGGCCTCCTTTTCTTAGAAACTGAAGATATTCTTGCAGTAATGTCAAAAAACCGCGCTCTTCTGCTGGGTCTTTGTTTACATGCTACGTGATTGGCCGAAGACGCCTAAAGCATTGTGTATGGCGGTCGCTGATTGGTCCAATTCTTTTACCAGACCGCCAAGATTGCCATCTGTTGGCTACCATTGGAACTAGAGTGGTAATTTCGATTTACGATTGTAACACTGACAAGGTGAGTTACCAT